CCCCCACACACACACATTTGCATGCCAATAATAATGATTTATATTATTCAAAATATTTTTTTCTTTAAGATGTTGAGAGAAAGATATTTGGCGTTCAAGATGGTGGATATGTGCGCGCTGATGATCTCGAGCGACGTCAAAAAACCATTGCATCTGACCCAAGTGTGGCACAACAAGTTAGTTTAGCAGTCGGTGCATATCACAAAAGGAATTTTGATCAGATGACTAAACATTTAGATTCTGCCGAGGAAGAAGATGGGTCTTGTGATGTAAGGCTTGCATTCGCTGGAAATGTATCCACTAATTTTGATCTTGTCGTCACTTTTAGTAATAATATCCCTGAGCCAAGGGGGCCGCACGTTGTCGAAGAAACGACAAAAAAGAATCTGAGGTATTTAGCCAATGACCACCAGAAAGTAATGGAGCACATGGGTGAAAAAAGAAGTGATATAATGGAAGTACTTATTGTCGGATTGTTTGAACAAACTGGTGCTAAACCAGGTACAAGTGATTGGAAATTTCTAAAAAACAAAGCATTAGAGATGGTTAAGTATTTTGAAGGCTTGACCGAAAATGGACACTCTGTAACAAAAGCCTACGTTCTTCTTTTCCTGACCGTTCTTCACAATTTTATTGCCACGAGGAACAGACTTTGCAGAGGGGAACATGATAAGCTTCTTCCCTTTATAATGCCTTGTGTTATCATCTGTGAAAGTGTATTATTGGAGTCGGATGCATGGATAAAAACAAAATTTGATGTTTATGAAATAGCTGTACTTGAGACAGGATCGTCACTTGGAACTGGCCAGATTCCATGTGCTCCATTTTTCCCAAAATATAGTCGAATTCTTCAGGAACTCACGGCGAAGGCGGCTAAATGTAACATATACGTGTGTGACGACAATCAGCAACGGCAGATCGACAATGTCCGCAAAGGTAAACATAATAAGGTGGGGTGGGGCGGATCTAGAGATGTCCGAAAAGGGGGGGGGGGGGGGGGGTGAAAGTGGAGCCGATTGAGACAACACCACCCTAAGGGGTCCGGGGCATTCCCCCACGAAAGTTTTTGTTACTAGACGCCCGAAAATAACCTCTGAGGCGTTTTGGGGATGAAATGTTGTCTTTTCCTTTCTTTCATTTTTTTTTCTTTTTCTAACTCCAAAAGGTGTGGGGGCGTGGCGCTTGGCCGCCCCCACCAAACGCGCCCCTGCTAATCAAAAGAAGATATTTTTTATCAGTAATGTATATTATTTGTGAGAATCAATCGAATTATAAAAAACCAGAGAATCCACTAATTAGTGTTAAATAAAACAAAACTCCGAAAAGAGACAGAGACATTTTGAGATTTAACGTTTCGTTCTATTTGATCATTTTCAAGAATACTGGTGAGAAAATCTCACCCATCCATATATGGTTACAATATTTACAGAAGTATAACAGAAAGCAAATAAAAACCGAACAATTAAATTAAAACCAAAGTTATAACTAGCCAATTAAAAACGAGGTAATTAAAAATGAGGTGTGTCTTATATTAAGTATTATCACTTAATATTGCGAGTAAACAATGAATAATCAACAATTATTCAACAATAGTATAGAAGCCTGGGAATGCTGGCTGAATGAAAGTCTCACAACTTAAAATAAACAATAAGATAATTCAGTGAAATAAAATATATTTAAACAGTAGATAATGCTTACAAGAAAATATGTTATATAATTACAATTCAGAATTAAGTAAATAATGAAAGCTCCTTGGATGCTCTCAACCCAGTGTTTAAAATAGGCTCAAAACGCCTAATGGCCAAAGCCTCCATAAATAACATTTGTGATCAATGTTGTTACAGCGTTCAAATGACTCAAAAGGGAAGTTAATATTTTGATGGAAAGAGGTAAGTGAGTTAAGTACTAGTGGGACATCAGAAGGCTTAGCTAAAACAACGCTGTAACAACATTAATTTTCTTGATTTAACATTTATAACCAATGGTGAAATTGGAGTGTATCGTAAGAAAACACATACTGGTACGTCAATATATTCATTTTGATAGCTTTGTTCCATGGGCTCATAAAATATCTTGGGTTCGTAGCCTTTTATCTAGAGCATACAAAATATGCACGCCTGGGCTATATTTTACCGTTGAAATTGAAATAATCAAGAAGATGCTGCTATGGAATGGTTTTCCTATATATGTTGTCAATCGGTTACTTGAGCAGCTAAAACCTAAGCCGAATAATAATGATATTGATAGATCTGATATTAATGATGACAATAGGCCTTAAATTTGGTTACGTCTTCCTAACATAGGTGTTCGTGGTAACACTCTGGTAAGCAGCTGCATTAGGAAGATAAATAGATATTTAATTATTGATGTTAAAAGTTTATTACTTAATAAGCTAAATTAATCAGCGACAGTACGCTTTTTTATGGATGGTATGTCTCATTTAAAGATTTAAAGAAGTAAATGAAGCACAGTAAAAAAAAATTATATAATTCAGAACCATTTTAATAAAGAATTTCAAATGTAAAAATTAAATTGCCTAGAAACTACTTAAACACAATAAACAATTACAAATAACATTGAATATTAAAAAAATAAAGATATATGAAAAATATCATTAATATTAATAACAAAATTATAAATTATTCTTCTTTAAAAAAATTCACTAGTGCTGCAAATTCAGAATTACCTAGCCCTATTTGTTCCATAAGATACCCAATAGCTAAAGTAACCTGTTCCAATTAATCATTAATGAGTACAACTTCTAATGTGACATTGATTACAAGATAATTTAAGGGTATGCACAGAATGTATAAAATGATTATTTGTCCACTTTTAAACATCGAATTTTATTTGAAGTTACTTACTTCAACATAGAATGTAGGCTTCTATCATAGAATATTTCACATTAACCCTTGGTAAGGCTCATTCGAATAATAATGAAATGGTATTTGGCATCTGGTGATTTGAGAGGAAAATATTTTGAATAATATAAATTAAATATAAGTTATCAAATTTATATAGTGTTTAAATTGAAATACTTAACAAACATCTTAATTTTCCTGCAGTTGGAGATCAGTTTTACAGAGGCTCTGAAGATAGAATGTGCATCATAGCCGCAATACTCTATTATAAAGCTGGTTGTTATACAGGACTGATGGCGATTTTAAATGCAGCTGATCAGACTTCAAGTGCTGTTAATATACGGATGAATTTTACCATGCGAGTGTCCAGTACATTTGAAAAATGCGTTGACTATCACAATTCCATTTCCGATGAAAGTACATATGTGGAACTCGTTAGGAATTCATATTTATACCTATGTAAAGCTTCCGAAGACTTTTCTGATTTTGTTAAGAAAATGGGCGAAACAGAATCCAACGATCTGAGGAGTTGGGTAGACGAATTATTTCAAGCGACCAATAGTAAGCCCAGCTTAAACCCTGTTTTGGAATTAAAATCGGTTACTGAGAAAGGCCAAATTGCAGCCCAGTATATCATGCGCATGAGTGCGGAGGCGAGATGTATCGCACAGATATATCTCAATTTCTTTATGAGTTTCATCGTGAACTTCATTACTAGAAGACATGCATTGCATACAAAAGACATCTACAACGGTGGATTAAAGATAACACTTGCTCTGATCATTTTGTGTAAAGATGTGCTTGTCACATCGAGCTTTTCTATAAAAAAAAAAACAACAGGTGTACAGTGTTGCGGCATCATATATGACGAAGGTAACTGATGAATCCGATGTTTGGACGAGTGAAATGGAAACGGTTGTTAATGAACTTGGTAGATTGAAGGAGATACGTAAAGAATTTGATGAACAATTGAAAAGAAAAGCAGCATCACGGAAAGGTATTTATAATTAAATCAATTATTATCAGTGCAAAACTTATATTTGGTCTATGTAAACTCTTAGGCCTAATTTACATCTACAGTATATCTTTTTATAATTAAAAAGTTTTCTGTTTTTTTTTGTTTTTTTTGTAAAACGTGATCTTCAACCTTTTTTTTATTCTACTGGAATAATGTACTAATATGCTGGTTATTTTATATCAGAATGGCCAGGCTATTACGAAGACACGGAATATGAGCGTCAAGAAAAGAAACAACAGGCAACAAATGCATGTGGAAGTGCAGAGCAAGGAAACCATGGAATAGAAAAACTAAACAGTGGTAAGACAATCTTAGGTTATCCCGCCCCCATATACTGTTCCTTTATAAAGAAATATCAAAATACTAACTTCAAACTTACTAACCTTGTATTAGGCCTATACCACCACCACTCGTGATTAACTTTTAAAGTGGTAGTGTGCAATGATAATACATTTATTTTATCCAAACATATTCTAATACTTTGATGGGGTACGTATGCAAAAATTAAAGGAATAATTGGGAGCTTTGGAGATCTCTTTTTGTCGTCAAATGCTTATAAGAAGACAGCGTATGATGTTGATCTCTGTTATTTGCTATGTACCAAACTAGTATTGCCTAACTACACATGCAAATTTCCGATAAGTCCTCAATGCCTTTGGTTGATTAAGGCGTTTATATAGACAGCAGAAGGTCCCGGGTTCCGGTTGGGGAACCTATTTTTGCACATTCTCAGATTCCTCTCATTATGTTAAAAAATGTATATATATTTATAGCATTAGAGTTTATCTCTACTATATTATAGTATAATAATAAAAAGAAATATAATGTAGCACCATTATTCCAGGCCCATTATAATAAAAATATATCGATTTTACATTTTTATGTAATACAAAATATCACAAAAGAGAATAACTTTATCTTACACGAATCCACAAAATGAATGAGTTGTCGTCACTGCAAAAAAAAAAAAAAAAACATACAACAGAATTATATAGGAATTGCAGCATGATATTCGGTTGGTAAGTTGAACCACAGACCTTACTGAACGCAGCATTTCAGTGGTGAAAACGCGCGGCTGAAAAAGCGTATGTTCACTAAATAAATGTTAAAAACTCAAAATGTCAAAAAGTCAATTAAAACTATGGGATTACATCAGGCCTACTTGTAAATAACTGTTTCTTCTAGTTGTTTGCAGACGCCTGGGCGTTTATGACTAACAAACAAATGCTTTCTTAAGCTCTGTCTACAATAGCAAATTTAATGTGACAAATGCTTGTGTGATGTACCTATTGCCATACTACACCCAGATATGAGCATATCACATTTTGTTTGTCAAATAAATTTGATAAAGTGGAGCTTAACACCTACTTATTTATTGTTTCTGGACAAACTGGATTATTGTCTGAGTACTGATAAATTATTGTTAAACTTAAAGAAAAATACTGAGCCACCAATATTTATCATGTCAGGTTGAATTTATATTCTAAACCTCTTAATTTATATCTGCAAAAAATGTTTACTGTTACCTACAAAAAAAATAAATTAAATTAACCGCTTTTACACCAAAGTCACTAATATTTCACACTGACCTATAAAATCTCAATAAAAATGCTCTTCTTAATTTAGTTTTACTTTATTCTGCAATGTTATCTGCATGCATTTGTAATTTATTTTTTTTATAAAATATTTATAAATTTTTTTATTTTGTTAAATAAAAATAATTATATTTCTCTTCTTATTAGATTTTGCAACTCAACAGCCAGACCTAGAGGTAAGATTAAACCATTTATTTTTTAAAATCTAGAAATGACTATTATTTTTTAAATTAAATCTCTAATACTAATGAAAATGTGTTTTAATCATTTATAGTCCATCACAAGACTACAATTTTAAATAGGCCTAATAAAAGGTATTTTATATTAATTTACATTAATTCACACAACTAACTAATGAATTATGACTGACAGGTCTGTAGTTTTCTTAAGCAATATTTGAAGGAAACCGAACGCTGCAGATTGACTGAAAGTTAAAAAATGTTATTAATTTCTTTATTGTATTTGTTGATAGTATACCCGATCGTATGTTATCGACTCACACACTTCTTTCTACAGCTTCCTATGCGCACGAAATATTTGCGTATGGATCAAGATTACAAACATGGACACATCCTTTCTTGGGATGCCTTTAGTGAAATCTGTATAAGTTTGGACAGCTGCAATGACGCTAACCTTGATTGGAGAGCTCTGGCTGAAAAGTGGGGAGTGAAAGCTAAAACGATTGAAATTTGGTATGAAAAAAGTACTGAAAATCCAACTAAAACAATGTTGTTTTCATTCTTTTCAAAAAATGACGATCTGCCAAAGTTGAAAATATTGGAAAAACTTCACGAAACGTTCACAGACCTAAAACTTTCCAGTGTTGCAAAAGTTGTTTTTGAGGAAATGAGAAAATAGGTGGATAGACTGCTTGGCCTACAAATTCATGTTTTTTTTTTTTGTTTTTTTTTTGGCATGCTTATTTTGAATTTAGTGACGTATTTTGAAATAGGGAGGGGCTGGTGGGGGAATCGAAAGTAGAGAGAGAAAAAAGGGAGCCTGATGAGGCATCAACGGTGGAAGGGCTCAACGATTAAGTAAGGGGATGTCAGTTCACAAAATCAGTTGATATGAGGTAATTTTTAACTACATGGTCGTAATATTTTTGCGTGCTACTCTTTCGTGCACCTCCTGGATATGCCAATGTTTCACTTAAGTACTCCGCGAAGGTAAAATGGCAGTAACATGGTTGGGTAAATTTAAGTAGGCTTATATGAAAACCCATAACTTCAAGCTACATTGTACTGATGTGCGTACTAGTACGTGTGTGGTCAATGCAGCCATAGGGTGGAGCTTGCATCATTCCACGAAAGGAGCTAAAAATAAACCAGAGTATCGCAGTAGTCCCTACATTTTTTTAAAAATAAGAAATGTAACACAAACCTGGTTTCAGGTTTTCATCCGGCTAAAGAAGGTCTCGAACCAGGCTATGTTTAGTGTTGCCCCCGCCTTACCACTTGACGTGATTGATAATGACAAGCAATTTCATGAAAAAATAGCGCGATGATCTTGTTCAGATACAAGAGATTCAAGAATGATGATGATGATGTTGATGATGATAAGCTGTCTCTTATACACATCTAGATGTGTATAAGAGACAGTATATATATATATATATATATACACACAAAAGATTCAATCTGATATTCGTTTCTGGTTAAACCTATTGAAACTTAATGAGCAAAAAACTGAATTCATGATCATCAAAGCAACAACTTGCAAAACATGACTCAGGCCTTCTAAAATTGGTGAAATGTTTATCGAACCGTCCATTACATGTAGAAACCTTGGCATAATCTTGGACAAAAATCTCAGTTTGGTAGAGCACATTAACGCCGTCTGCAAATCAGCTGAATTTTCCATTTATAACATCGGACGTATTAGAAAACACCTCAAATTATCACACCACTGAAATTCTTATTTATGCGTTTATTACCTAAAAGCTTGATAATTGCGATACTATCTTATATGTCTTAACAAAACACTATTAGGCAAACTCCAAAAACTTAAAAACATTGCTGCAAGACTTGTAAGCACATATCACTTGTTTTGAAGGAATTACACTGGCTACCCGTTGACCGCAGAATTACATATAAAATGGGGCTCATTGTGTTCAAAGCCTAAAACGACATTGCCCCAACATACATTTCATCTCTTGTCTCCGTCTGTACACCTACTAGATCGAATTTACGTTCTACTGATCAGCATCTTATTACTGCACATACTGTAATACTCGCAATGCTTGGAGAGGGAGAGCTTTTTCTGCCGCTGGAGCTAACATCTGGAATGGGCTGCCACGTAAAATTCGGACAACCACTTCTATTTAAGAATTTAAGTCAGAGCTAAAACATTTTTAAAACACTTTTTTTTAATAGATTAGATAAATAATAGATAAATTTTTATTTGTTTTCACCTGATTTCTTTTCTTAAGTCTGAGTCACTGCCTCGGTGGTGCACGGTAGCGCAGCCTGAGGCACGTAGGCTAAATGTGGAAACCTGTGGAAACCAATTGCATCTTGTTGATTTGACGTAAAATGACGGGAGACTACACTCAGAAAAATTTTCCCCATGCAATAAATGGAAGAGCCAAGCCTAGTCACCGTCTTGTACTGTTTGTTTGTACACCGGTCTGCAGCAGGATCCTTACGTGGAGTATCTACCTATAAACGGCCACATAGAGAGAGTGACACTGTTTCAAATCCGGAAGTTTTTTCATGAAGATGTGCTTAATAAATAGCTTCCATGCAGTCCTTATAGTGAATTATGTTTTTTTCGCGTTTTTTTTACTTCTATGACATTAATGGTTTTAGCCTCATTTGTCTGTATCTTAATTCTTTACCACATTTAATCGTTGTACATTTTCATGTTTATTGATTTCATGTAGGACCATATTGGAGATAAGTTTTATTTCTTAAAGAAAATTCTATCTATGCTTGCATCATATTTTAGTGTTATTTGTTTGTCATGCCATGTGCGAATTTTATCTGTTTTGTACAATATTTTGATGATAATATAATAAACTAAACTGATGATATACCAAAATAAATTTTGAATCAGAATGGTCTGTAGTCTTGTTCGAGTTCTAATGTTTTTATATTAGTCACACAGATAAAAAAAAAAAACCCATAAAATCGAGGTAAATATGTGTTAACCAACACCTTTTGGTTTATTGCCGTTTTGGTTTATTGCCGTTTTGACTTATTGCCGTTTTACTTATTGCCGTTTTGACTTAAGGTGTCGCACATTGAATGATTCTGTTCTCCTAAACAGTTACGTAATGGCAAACTTACGGTCAACTTTATGCTTCCGGATTGACAAACTAAGTTTAAAGTGTTTTCTGTCCAGAGGGCAGTAGACAAAAAAAAAATAGGTTGTCTGAGTTTATCTCACGTTTTTAGCATTTAACCAGTCTAGGCTACATTTAGTTTTTAAAATGTCGGCACTTTTTGAATGCCCTCAACGCTTGGAGACAAAATACAGTAAGATCATTTTTATTCTTTCCATTAAAGTCAGGCTCCGGAATCAGAAAAATTGATGTAGTACAAACATTTCTAAGACAATGAATTGGTGAAAAACTCTAGAAAGATTAAGAAGATATATTTTTATAAAGTATAAAACGTGATAAGATACTTGTTTTCTTGAGCACTTCAATCATTTGGCCCTTGACACAGATGAGCTTTTTGATGCCGTTTCTAAAATTCTATTTAATGTCTAGTTCATTGAATGTATCTTAGGCAATGGCAATTCTTACACCAGTCTTAAACTCATAATTCCGATCTGAATTTATTGTCCTAAATCCAATGCATAGGCCTACATACAATACCATTTAATCAGAATTATAAATTCGTGTACAAAAATTCGTGTGCGACTGGTGTAAAAATAGCCCTCGCCTTTATCTCTTAAAGAATCAAGATTTCTTTTTTTAATTGGGGAGGGGGTGCACACACAGTTTTCAGAATATATAAGCGAGTAGCGCTAATTTAAATATATAATTTTGATATGCATCGAAATTTTAAAATTTATTGGCAAAACGGGGAGGGCACGTTCCCCCGTTCTCCCTATTAGATGTGCGCCTGGACATTAGTTCACACACCATGTCGTACATTTCTCAAATTTGTTTCTCTTTAAAATATTTCAACAGTTCAATCAGTACCATATGTCCTCCGCTTATTTCATGACAATTGCTACCTCATATTGCTACCTTATTTGGATCACGTTTAAACGTGGACGTTATTGAAAAGATAAAGATTAAGAAAAAAAAAAGATGAAGTAACCGTCTCTCATAATAATTTGGCCAATATCAGATCACATATCGTTTTCTTTATGTTGCCATAGTTAACATGCGCCAACAAGCCATTATATTTCGTGTATATTACAGTAGTAGTCATATTGTTGAAGATCATGGTACAGATGTCAATGTCCATACAATTGGTTACAGAAAATTTGAGTCTTGAGGACAAACAAACAATACAATTAATAAATGTTGACAATTTTTTTTATAATGATAGGTCATTGGTCTAAACACACAATGAACTGTTTTTGTCTTTTGATGTATGCAAATATAAACAAAAACCAAACAAATCAAAAGCAAAAACAAATCATAATATTATTCTTTTTCCTATTAAGTCAACTTTACTACTAAAGAGAAAGTAAAATAAAAGAGCTGGGTGACAACAAACCATGTGCTACCGATATTAGACCCTGTTTACATAAGCAATAAATTAACATTTAGTTATTGAAGAAAAATCACTGGAAACGCTCCTTTGTCTTAATAGTTCTCTTCCCATTTGCTTCGCATTGAGTTTATTTGTATTGTTAGGAAGGTCAATCAACGTCTCAGACATCTCATCCAGGCACTCAATGTCTATATCGGGTTTATCATCCTTGCCTTTCTGTGCCTGAAACTTTACATGACAATGTTGTTTAATAAAACAGCAATATAGGCCTAATATTAATAGTAAAACATGTTCAACTATTATGAAAACAGCCACCACTATGAGCACACTAGTTGGAACACAAGGTCTCGGCTTGCCCAGAAGATCTGAAAAGAAAAATGTAAACACGTTAAATTTGTGGTAAATTTAAAGGGTAGGAAATAGCACAAGACTTGTGACTTACTAGGCTGAAATGAGCACACACTTGGACTAACTCATTCAAAAACTTTCTTCTCCCCAAAGGTCACACATCATGTCCAATCAGTTGTCATGGGGCTAAATGGACTAATATACCGGGATAACCCCCTACCCTTCTCGAAGGATGAACTGGTTCTTTAAAGCGCACACGAGCCAATTGTGTACACTGGGTTAGAGTCTTTATTGGAGGGAGAACACTTGTTCCACCACCAGAGACATGGGCGAGTATGTCATTCGAACCAGCCCATTATACCGCTAAGCAATTTGAATCGCCAGGTTTCTAAGAGTAATATGATCATATATACGAAGGCATTGTGGCGATTCAAGTGCAGATAGAATCGAAGTTTCTTTCATTCTTTAAACGTGTCTGACTTCACGGTTTTGATATAGCACTATAGACTGCAAGATATCTACAAGCTACATCATCCTCTGTGCATCATTTTCGTATTGCTGGATCTCGAATGAGAAGGTGATTTTATGGCATGGAAAAAATCCTGAAACAGCAAGTGGAATAATGTATCAAATACTGAAAATTAAAACGTAATAGATGAGAAATTTTAATTTTATCTTTAATTTTAAATTGATTATTAAAAGCAACAGTTCGTTATTTGGTTATTAGAAGAAATTATGCTATCCTATTAAAGAAACATTGTCCACAAGGAGCTTAGTAAGAACAAACCGGGTGCTACCGATATTAGACCTGTTTACATAAACAATAAATTAACATTAAGTTACTGAAAAATAGTATCTAAAAAAAATCACTTTTTGTCTATCAAATTATAATATTTCTAGTTAGGAACTGTAAACAACCAGAATTAGAGCTGTGAGTGTGAAATAATGTTGCTCAATCGTGATTCGAACATGGGACCTTCTGCCGTCTAAGCAGACGTCTCAGCCAATTGCCCTACTAACTTGGCTTCTCTGTGTATCTTATTGACCTCTGACACTCTTTCACATATGATATTAAGCTCTGTCCACACTATCAAATTTTCGTCGACAAAAACTCATATAGTCAGGATGTGTCTATATATGGTCATGATGGTGACGCAAATACGTTAAATGAATGAAAATAATTTACAGTCGGCGCTTGAACCATACCACATAGCCTTCGTGACCAAGTTGCGTTCACCTTGTATTAGAGAAAGAAACACAACAATGTTCATAAGGGTAATATCTCTCATATCAAAACAATGTTTTGTAAAATTAAATTTGGTAGTCTGGACGGATGGGTCAACTAGCACTGCTACAGTGATTCAGTTCACCTGGTCTCCCCATTTTTGTATGTTTGACCAAATAAATAATGAAATGAAATGAAAAATTAAAAATATTAATAATGCATAACCTACCTTCTTCGAGTTGTATTTCGCAAACGGACCCCAGAATCTTAGTATATGTTGTCGGTTCTTTTAAATCTAAACGGCACGTAACCGTTTGATTTTCCGAAACTTTGAATGCAATACTTGAGGATAAGCTGAATGTCTTGTTACCGGTCACAGTACAGTCACTGATTTCGTTTGTTTTTAAACAAATATCGCCAGTACTATCCCAGGAAATGTGAACAGAGCCATTGGGATAATATCCCTTAACTGTACATTTTAAAATTACTGTATCGTTTTTCTCCACTGGAACATCCGGGCAGTTCATAATTTCTAGTGTAAAGTTCGGTGGCTCTAAGTTATATAAACATGAATACCAAAATGAATTAATTCACAGTTACATAAGTAATGCTCATCAAAATTTATAATATTTAGAATTCAGTATTAAATTTATTTCATCATGGATCATTCTAGATAATATGTTTCTTCCTGGATGAAATAAATCTGAATTTAACGAAAAACCCATTTATGCATTATATCTTCAAACTGTAGTTCAAAAATGATATATTGTAACATACAATTTCTCTTAAAGTCTTGTAAATATAGTTATGTTGCTATTATCAGGAGGACATGCATACAATTAAGCCTATAATAGATTTACCAATGACATCATATCGTTTGCAATTTCTTTAAGATAAATTAAAAAAATTGTAAACATTATTGTCAATCATTTCGTTGTGAATTCCAATCCAATAATCCTGGTTACAGTTTCAAATGATCATGCTTATTATATATTTAGAGTTAATGAGTCCGGACAAGGAAACTATACTGTCTCTGCTCCTCGTTTATATATTTAAAACAGCACCTAAGAACTTTTACTTTTTCTAGTACTTTTATTTTTTAAATATTTATTTACTAAATTAGATCTGATCGGAGTTAATTGTACACAACACATTTTGAAATATACGCAGACAATAAATTATATCATAATGTGTTTCTACATGAAATATTTGGGTATAGAAACAGTAACTTACTATTGCGCTGCAAGAAAAATTCTTGGCCTTCTTTGTTAAGGGGATTTATACAACTTATATTTTGTCCGTCGGTTACATTACGCACAGTAAGTTGATATTTAGTTGGTACATAGCGATCATTCTCGGACCATATAGAATTGTTTCGAACGTTATAACTTGCAACTGGGCCATCTTGAAAGTCCTTGTCATACCAAGACAGAATTCTGACTTCACTTAAATCAATATCACATTTGAGCACAGCGATCTTTGATTGAGAAAAATATATTGTCTTTTTTCCTTTGATATGGGTAATCAAAACTGGTAAAAAAAAAAACAGAGTGAATTTAGCAAGGTATGAAACAACGCATTAGATTATAAGTATTTTTTAATGTTCTTGGGATAGCTATCAAACAACCCTGTAACATTATTAATGCTACAAAGGAACGTTGCAGTCGTAGTGTATACAATTCTATTATGTTGTTGTTCAAACCAACTTTCCACAAACTGTTATGTCTTGGTTCCTTAAACCATTTAAGGTACTGCATCCCGCCCACCGACTACTGAACAGTCGCATGGATATATTTGCGCTAAACCTAATATAAGTTGTAAAATCCATATTTTAAAAGCATACTAATTTGGACATTGTTTAAATGAACATTTCACAATCTATGATACGCGTGCCATAAAACTTGGGCGCCCAGAAATCAGAGATGCTGATATTTTCAAAGTTTCTAGAAAGGACTAATCTATTTCATCTTACACTCAAGTTATCAGAGAACCACATGATTTTTTTTTTATTAACCCTAGAGCATATGGAAAATAAAATGACTGAATACGAAAGAAGATTCTATTTTTTTTTTATGGTAGGCCTATATGCTCTAGGGCACGTCAGGTGGGCAAAGTGATTTTTTTTGCGCCCCCCGACAATGAATTGAAAACCCTATGTTTGTGGCTAGCCAATCAAAATTGGCTAGAAAACGCCTTGTTTTTTACGGGCCGACACCAATAATATGTAAAAAGTAACATTAAAACTGAGAATAAGGGTGATGTAAAAGTAGTGATTGGAGGTTTTTGGAAGCTCACTGGAACATCAAAGTTTGGGTGCGGCCCTCAGTGTTAAATAAAAAGTTCACTTTGGCCCTCCGACCGATTTTTATGCCAACCCAGCTCTAGGGTTTAAAAAAATAAATTTCCGTGAACTTGACCTTGTTCTTTGACCTTTTCTTTCGAAAACTTTCGATTATTATGTACCATTTCACTAAATTCTATGATGATCCATTCATTAGATTTTGGGTAATCTTGCTGACAGACAGACAGACACACAGACAGACAGCACGACAGCCAGACAACACGGTAGACAAACAGCAGTGACTACATAACCTCCTTGGTGAAGGAGGAAAAAAAAAAAAAACATAATGGAATTAAATTTGAAACCAACGTATGTTTCATTGACATATAGCAAACGCCTCTTAAAACAATAGGATACACCAGTTTTGCGAACTGTCAATAATGATAGCATTATAAATTAATATTTCTGTTTTTATATTTCAATCTACATTTTATATATACGAAGCCCAATAGTCTTGATTTGTACCGAATACAATCTGAAAATATCTCATGCTTCGATAAAATTGTTAAATTATGAGTTTTTTTAAAATACTATACGAGAGTGAATCTCGTTTCTGTATTAACGATGATATAGGGCTGTGGAGGGTATCTATATATCTTCTCCAAAACGTAACAGGGTTTGTTTCTTGATCTCTAAAATGGATATTGGTATTATTAGCCTACTTAGGGTTTAACTTGGTATATACCAACCATGTCAATTGGAATTATGTGTGTGTGTTTGTGCACTTTTCTACTGATAGAATTTCAATCCATACCATCAGTTATACCTGGTAATACTATAGTATAGATGTAGAGAAAATATGCTGTAGAAAAAAAAAAACGAAAATAAAAATTTATTCTCTAGTATGTCAACTAAGACAATCATGACATAATAAATATCCGAAATAGACTAGAATCTATGTTGACGATGATGATGATGATGATGATGACAATGATTAACATCAATAATTAACAATTACGTATGGGCCTACACCTCATGTTCTATGACTTAATGACGTAATTGTAATAAGCCGCAGCAAATAGGCGAATAATAACAACAGAAGAATATGCGATAATCTTACCAGCTTGCACACGAAATCTTAATTATAATTTGTACCGAAGACAATCCAAAAATATCTCATACTTCAATAAAATTGTTCAATTAAGAGTTGAAAAATAAAATAAAATAAGAAGAGTCCCATTTTCTGGCATTTAAGATTACGTCTCGGTCCTAAACTATATTATGGTATCTATAGCTTTAAAACCTGACCGAATTTGTTTCTTGATCTTTAAAATGGACACTGGTATTAGCCTACTAAATGTGTGATTTGATATGCCAACCATGTCAATGGAAATTATGTATATATGCCTTTGTGTGCTTTTACTGTATATGCAATCACAATTCCTACCTGGAAGTCATTAGTACCGTAATATGATGTAGAAAAAACAAAAATAGGAAAATTTATTCTAATAGGTCAACTAAGCTAATCATGCTAAAATCAATATCTGAATGAGACTAATTATTAAGAATGTTGATGATGATGATGATGATGATGAAGACGAAGATGATTATGATATATATTAATAATAGGCGTAACTAAAAACTATAATTATTAAAAATAACGTAGACTCACATAAAAGCAATGTGGATTGTATGATGAATTTACTGGCAGACATTATGGGCCCGCGGTACAGTGTTTAGCTGATCCTGTCAAAGGTGTGATGTCTGAAACACGATTATTAATATAAAAAAAAAATCACCGATAAAAATACAGGTAGTTGCAGTATGTGTCTTCATTCGCCATATTCTCTCCTGTCTTACACACATGCGCACAACGTTTTTAAGCGTTGCCAGAATGCACATTACAAGTTATCAAATTTGTAGATATAGGATACTACAAAAAGTGGTGATGAGATTAGGGAATCAATTAATAACATTTCACATAATAATTTGTGATAACAGAAAACCTGTTGTGGTTTTTGATTTAGTACCGCGCCAATGTCAATAATTACCAATCTCTTATACACCTTATTTTTCATGCTAACTGAATTGTAAAAAAACATTAGATCGTTTGACGTAATTTCATGAATAGGCATAATAGGCGAATAATAACAAAAGAATAGGCGACATATAAGCCTACATTATCGCTGCTGATATCATTTGCATAACAATGGTTAAAGTACTGTACCTAGCTTCACCTTGTATGAACGGTGTGGCGCAGCGGTTGCGGTTTTGCATCTCAAACTAGGTTCGATTCCTCGCTGTGTATTTCGCTTGTGTCCTCAGGCAAGGCACTTTACCTACGGTTGGCTTGTAATGAAAATATGGTCCGGGGCAAAAATCGGTCCAGCGGACTGATTTTGGCCTCATAATTACTTGCCAAATGTAGTCCACATAAGCCAAAATCAGTCCGCTGAAATTTAATTTGCTCCACAGTACACTTGGAAATATTACGTCCGCAATAGATTTTGGCGGAAAGAACAATTCCTAAGCTTTTACAGACGCGCATATGCTTATCTAGCCGATCACAATGATGTTCCCTAGCTGAAACCTTAATTTGCATACATCACCCTATATAAGAGTTTTAGATCAGCATGTACTTGTGTTTAGTTGATAGTAGAGCCTTCGCGGTTAGTGAACATTGGAATAACAGGATGGAAAGACTTAGCTATGTACACGGATATACCATGGAGTTGTTATCTAAATAATAACTCCCTGGATATACATCTGTAGCTGTTGTATTTTTAATAGTGTTACAGTGTATTTTCTATGAACAATTACATACTGTACATTGAGATAAAATTAATTTCATATTCATAACTCAATACCGCCTCCACGGCTCATACTGTATATTTGGTAGAAAGAGAGGGTGGGTGCGTGGGTGAACGACGTGAAAGGGTTTTGAAATTTAACATGTAGCATGTGATTCCTCTACGCTGACACAGCACAGTGGTTTTAAACCACAAATCACAATGATGTCCATCGCTGAAGCCTGAATTTATACAGACATCACCCTAAGAGTTTAAGATCATGATGTACCATACAGTATTTGGATTTGTTTTTGATAGCAGAGGCTTCGAGGTTTTTTTTTCAGTGACAGGACCAACTAGCATACCCCCTTCTAAATCCACTCGTCATATATTTGGTAGAAAGAGAGGGTGGGTGAACCTCATGAAGGGGTTTTTGAAAATTAACATGTAGATTCCGCTACGCTAGCCACAGCACAATGATTTCAAACCACCAATCACAATGATGTCCATCGCTGAGGCCTCAATTTGCATACATCACCCTATATAAGAGTTTAAGATCGGCATGTACAGTACAGTATTTGAGTTTAGTTGATAGTAGAGCCTTCGCGGTTAGTGAACATCAATTGGAATGTACACGGATATATATTACCTGTAGTTGTATTTTTAATAGTGTTACAGTATATTTGCTATGAACAATTACATACATTGACATAAAATCTGATTTCATATTCATAACTCATACCGCCTCCACGCCTCATATATTTGGTAGAAAGAGATGATGGGTGGGTGAATGTCGTGAAAGGGTTTTTGAAATTTAACATGTAGATTCCGCTACGCTAGCCACACCACAGTGGTTTCAAACCATCAATCACAATCACAATGATGTATCCCTGAAGCCTGAATTTACAGACATCACCCTTTATATAAGAGTTTAAGATCATGATGTACGTCAGTACAGTATTTGGCTTTTGTTGATAGCAGAGGCTTCGAGGGGTTTTTTTTCAGTGACAGGACCAACTACCATATCCCTTTCTAATAAATCCACGCCTCATATATTTGGTAGAAAGTGAGGGCGGTTGAAAGTCGAGAAGGGGTTTTTGAAATTTAACATGTAGATTCCGCTACGCTGATTTCAAACCACCAATCACAATCACAATGATGTCGATCGCTGAAGCCTGAATTTGCATACATCACCCTCTATATAAGAGTTAAGGTCATGATGTACAGTACAGTATTTGGCTTTTGTTGATAGCAGAGGCTTCGAGGGTTTGTGCACGTGGAAGAATAAGGGAAAACCTAGCTATATATGCTCTAGAGTACACAGATATATACTAGTTGTTAAAGATAGTTTATTGTGTGTGTGTGTGTGTAAAATAAAATTATGTATAAGTCAAAAACGTAACAGTACTTCCCTGCACATTGCTTATGTTATATCAAGTCAATCTTATGTATCTTTCGTTTCTCATGTATGCATTTTGGGTGATGACCAAACACACGATTATACGCCGCTAAATGTCTGTCTCTTATACACATCTAGATGTGTATAAGAGACAGTATATATATATACATATACAGTATATAGGTTTTGTGGTTGGAGAACCTGGGTATGTGTGCTGGCAGAGTAGTGTAGTTAGTATTAAATTTTTACGAGTGAGCAGTAGTTTTAATAAATAGTGTATTTCATATTGGATTCCATATGATTTGTTGCTTGCTGTTTCAATTTGTAGCTAAAAGAACCTGGGTTGAAATTATTATTATTATTGTATAGAGAGCTACATACAGTATGTCCATATATCCAGTTAATGTTTCCCACAGCAGTGTTTTCCTGTACTCTCTGGACGACCGAAAATAACCTCTGAGGCGTAGGCGACCAATTATTTCTTTTTCTATTTTTATTTATTTTTTTTTATCAGGGGCAAGGATAAACCACCATACCCCCTTCTAAACCGTGCCTGTTATATATTTGGTAGAAAGAGGGGGTGGGGTGAATGTGTGTTGAATAATAATACACTGTATACAACGATATTCCATGCTGTTGGATCATGATTTTTTCCTTATTTTTAGCAGCTTTAATTAATGGATGTCGACTTATTAAAATGTCAAATAATTATATCTTTCTTGTAAGGTGTACATCACCCTGAAACTAAAAAGAAAGCACAATCTTTCTTTTACTCCTTGTATTGTACTAACCAAACCGAGCCTCTGCTATCAAATGAATTCCTTGGCATACAGCTGCTGTAGCCTTATATACGGCGATGTAACTAAAATTACCCAACTCCTGCCTTCTGTGACCTTCGACCTCCTTTCAAAGTACTATATATTCGGGTTGGGCTGAAATATCATTGGATCCACCCTATGATACTTTCCAGGGTGGGGCATGTTATTATTAATATTTATTACGAACTCGAGCTACAAAAATCAGCTGTAATATACAATATGCGCATGCAACCTAGCACTCAGATAATATCACTAAAAGCCAACTGTTCTAAACAGTAACAAACCATAACTCAATATACTTATTAAATATTTATTTATTCTCTACATAAAAAACTGTAGTTAAAAGAGAACCAAAACATCAAAATTTTAAATTTGGCTAACTGCCAAAAACCAACATACAACTTCGATCATATAAGACCAAATCGAAACACTAAGATCCCAAATAAACATGGGGAGAATCATGGGAACTAGGAACAACCATCTAAGATCAGATGAGTGGGTGGGAATTGATTCTCACCTCAAGAGGACTTGTATAATCACGATTATACTGCAGGTAAGTGTACCTTTGCATAATCATTAATTATACTGCGTCCTCTCTCGGTTTCAAATCAATTCGCGATTTTGACGAAGCTGACTTCAATAAGGTTTTACCTAACACTGAACCCGCCAATGGTCTGTGATAAAATTTACTAAAAGTCGATTGAGACGACCATCCTGCAACCTCAAGAATATCTCGCATCATTACCCCCAGCCGCTGTGAAGCTGATGCTGCTGCACCACGAGTAGAATGAGCTTTAAACTGTTGTGTATCCAGCCCTGCTTGACTTCACATATCACAAATCCATCTACTGACAGTAGATGAAACCACCTTCTTGTGCGGTTTTAAATAACTCACTAAAAGTTGATTCTCTGTTCCTCGAATGACCCTGGTACATTCTAAATACCTTGTCACCGCAGTAACTGGGCACAAACGTTTATACTCAAACGCTTCTATCACGACCCACCTTGTGTTATAATTGGGCCTACTCTGCTTAGCCAGTTTAGACGGTATGAATTTCAAAGAATTTTCAGAAATATTAAGACGTGAAATATCTATATGCACTAATGATGACACTCTACCTACTGTAACTAAGCTGAGCAATAAAACCATCTTTAGCGTCAACATTCTTAATGAGAGAGATTCCCAATCTGGGAGACTTAAAAGAAAGGACAGTACCGGTTCAATTTCCCATGTAACTAAATATTTAGGCTTAGGGGGGTTCCGATTAAAAAACTCTTTCATTAAACAACATACATCCGCATTTTGACCAATTGTACAATTATTAATTGGTTCATGATAACGCGAAATGGCAGACCTGTATACACTAATAGTTCTGTAACTCCGACCTTGCTTTTCACACTCAACTAAAAAATCTAAAATAAAACTTAAAGGTGCTGAAACCGGAGAAATATTCCGTTGATTACACCAGCCACTCCACTTTTTCCAGGCGGACTGGTATTGTCTATGGGTGGCTCCTCTACAGCTGTCGACCATGACATCTGCAACTTCTTGTGAAAACCCCTTACTCGCATAATGTTGCCTGAGACAAGCCAGGCCGCTAAATGTAGTGTCCCGGTTAACGGATGGGCCTGATTCGAATGTGGCTGTGTTAATATCTGCCGTCCTAGAGGTAGTAATTGTGGTTGTGCTATGGCCATTTGAACTAACATTGGGTACCAAACTTGAGCCGTCCATGTTGGAGCGACCACCAGAGCCTCTCCTTTGTCCACCTGCAACTTCCTTAGCACTTGTGCCAAGAGACAAAAGGGCGGAAACACATAACTTTG